GCTGGTCTCGAACTCCCGACCTCAGGTGATCTGCCTGCCTCGGCCTCCCAAAGTGCTGGGATTACAGGCATGAGCCACCATGCCCAGCCTGGCTGTTAATCTTAACTTTAGCCAAGACAAATGCCAATTCAGTTACTTACCTAGGGATGGGTCTCAGGCTGAAGACTGCTCTCTAACAGACAAGCAAGCCCTGCTTCAGCTCTTCTGCCAATATCGTACAGCAAAATAAACTTTAAATCTTGACTAAATTTGGGGAGATCGGATTCTCTGGAGAGGGTGCTCCCAGACCTCGGCAAATTGTCCTGTTGGTTTGAGCCATAAAGTTAGCTCATTCCAGTACCAAGTACCGATAGGAGTTTTGTCAAAGGTCAGAGGCGTCTCCACTCAGAATCTCCCTGTGGTTACCGGAGTGTGAACCCAGAACATCTTAGACAGATCTCAGTTAATTTAGAAGGTTTATTTTGCGAAGGTTGAGGACGCACACTCCTGACACAGCCTCAGGAGGTCCTGATGACATGTGCCCCAGGTGGTCAGAGCACAGTTTGGTTTTATACATTGTAGGGAGACGTAAGTCATCAATCAACATGTGTGAGATGAACAGTGGTTCCGTCTGGAGAGGCGGGACAACTTGAAGTGGGGAGAGGGCTTCCAGGTCATAGGTAGGTAAGAGACAGATGGCTGCATTCGTTCGAGTTTCTGATGAGCCTCTCCAAAGGAGGCAGTGAGATCTGCATTCACCTCAGTGAGCAGAGGGTGACTGAATAGAATGGGAGGCAGGTTTGCCCTGAGCAGTTCCCAGCTTGACTTTTCCCTTTAGCTTAATGATATTTTCCTTTCACACTGCCGAGCCCTCTGAGCCTTGCTGGCCGCTGTGGCGGGAATGCTCAGCCAGTGAAGTCATGCAGCCAGCACCCTTAGTGCATCCTAGGACAGTGCCTGGTAAGCCTGTGGGCACTCGGTATCCCAGTCTGTAGCTGGCCAGGTCGAGCGCGGCCTTCAGCGGTCTGCCGCTCATGTGACTGTTTCTCCAGGAGAATTCTTTCTTCATTTTGGTTCTACCGCAAATATTTTCCCATGTCATTACAGTTCTTCACACACAGAATCTAAATGTCTGCATATTCTATCAAGTGGCCACACCGTTAACGCACCTAGCAATTTTCTCACCAATGGTCCTTCATGATGTTCACCAGTGTTATCACGGCACTGCGGTCGGCAGTTTACTGTCTCCGTTTCTGAACTGCCAGTTGAGGTTCACGTTCTGTTCGCATTATCTCCACCCTTAAGCATGGCGTGTGAAGCTCTCCTCCTGGGAGCCCAGGCCGGCTGGCCTTGCTGCTGAGCATGGAGGAGCCAGTGGGCCAGGGAGTCAGAGCACCCTGGGAAGGGGTCCAGGTCTTGCACCCCGGGAAGGTGCTTGTGTTCACGGAGTGCAGAGCGGGGAGCAGGCTCTGCATCCCTCAGGGTGGCTCTGCAGAAGAGGAAACTGTGCCTTTTGCACACATCTTGGCTGGACTCATGGTTGAGCTGGGCCAGAGCCCTGGGGCTATGTTTCCCTCTCCGGTGTCCGGGGTCTGTGCTGGTGTCTGGAAGCAGGTGTTTCCTCTAATGTGTCTGCTGTTCTAGTTGTTCACAGCCAGAGGGAAAGACTCACAGCGGTGAGTCCCTCCTGGTCGGAGGCAGAAGTGCCCTGACCTTTGGTTAGAGAAGGACACTCCCTCACCCCAGAACCGGGTGGGTGGGGCCTGTCTCTCCTCCTGCACCAGAGCCACCTCGCCTCGTTGTCCTCCCACCTTGGTGGCTCCTTGTGAGGTCTGTCATCCCTATGCCTGCCCTTTGGCCCGAGTGTAACATGTCTCTTTTCTCTGGTTGCTTTTAGAGTTTCCATTTTGTCGCTGATTTTTCAGCAATTTGATTATGCAGTGCTCTCTGGTATGATTTTCTTTCTGTTTATGCTGCTTAGGCTTCACTGAGCTTCGTCATCTGTGATGTACGGTTTTCATCGCATTTGTAACGTGTTTGGCCTTGTTGTAGACGCGTCTCCTGCCTTCATGTTCGTCTGGGTTCCTGGTTCCTTGTGCAGCTTGTTTCTGGTCTCAGAGCTCTGCTCATTTTTTCTCCTTTGGCCCCTTTCCTTCTGAGTTTCAGTTTGGGTATTTTCTGGTGCCTGGTGTTTATATTCACTACCTTTTCTTCTGCGTGCTCCGAACCTGCTGTTCATCCTATTCAGTGGATGTTTGACTGTACTAAAGTGTACATAACGCACAGCTGGCCGCTTTATTTTTTGGTGCACCGTTCAGCAGCGTGAAGCTCATTCACATGGAGATGCAGCCATCACACCACCCTTTCCAGAATGTTCCCATCTTCACAAACTGAAGCTCTGTCCCCGAGAAACACAGGCTCCCCCTCCCCGCCCCCAGCCGCAGCACCCCCATTCCACTTTCTGCCTCTGTGGATTTGACACTCTAGTGACCGCAACAGTATGGAAGGCTTCAGGAATTTGAGTGTCATATTTGCACCTCTGTCAGGCCAGAAAGGAGGGATATCACAACCCCGGGGATGGGGAGGGACCACAGCCCAAGCTCAAGCAGGGGACTGGCCCCGAGAGGGCCGCAGGGAGGGCGGAGGCGCAGCCTGCCAGGACGAGCTGGGGAACCGTTCATCTTTTTGTAGTCATTTTTCCTTGTATTTGACAGATGCTCCTCGGGCAGCATGAAGAAGAAATAAGTAAAGACTTTCCATCCAGTGAGATCCAGCAGCTCCGAGAGCAGAACACGAGCTTGCGAAGCGCGATCGCCCAGATGAGGAAAGAAATGGAGGCTCTGAGCCATCAGATTCCTCCTCCCGCCCAGACAGCGGCAGAGAGCACAGATGCAAACCAGCCTGACCCAAAGGCTGGGGGAGACACCGCCACTCCTGGTGAGTAACAGGGAGAAAGGGACAGAGCGGGAGGGGAAGTGGGAGAGGGAGGGAGGAGGACAGACGGGAGCATGGGTCTCGACTGGCTTCAAGGAGGCTTCATGTCAGAGTCCTGTAAGTTAACATCCCCTGTAATAAATTCAAAGCATGAAAACTGCTTTTTCTGCAAGAGAAGGAATCTTCAGTTTTATACCAAAAAGCTTTTATGTTTGTAAAGTAGAAGGAAAAAATCAGGGTACCTGCTTGACGCACTTAAAAAACCTGTTTTAGACCTGAACCAGGGCTGGCTTGGTGTCGCGCTGTCCCAGAGTGGGTTGGTAGCAGGGGCTGGTGGACCGCAGGCCTTTCCTCCAGAGGAGTGTCCGTGGCAGAGCTGATGAGGGCACCTGATGCCCGGGAACCCCACGAGTGGCTGTGGGTGGGCGGATGCCGGGATGGATGCAGAGCTTCCGTTCTCCAGGTGGGACTTGGCCCCTCGCACAGAGGCACGTGGGCTGCAGCAGGTGAAACATTTGCTCCTGATCGCTGAGCCCTTCCTGGAGAGCATGGAGATTGTGCTGGTCTCTGGCTGGCACACTCTGGCCAGTGAGGGGAGGGAAGGTCTTTCAGTCTGACACACACACAGAGTGTGGAAACTGCTGTGACGCTCTCGTGCGGGGAGGACAGGAGGACAGGCACAGTGAGGCAGCGGGCATGAGCTGGCATCGGCTCCCTGAGCTGGTGCTCACAGAGGGGCGGCGTGAAAGGGGGTGTGTGTGTTATACTCACTGGGCTTTTTTTGGCAGATTATGTTCTGGCCCTTGAAGCAGAAATACGAACTCTAAAGCATAAGTTTAAAACTCTGGAAGAGCATCTAGAAGATGTGCTGGATCCTTTAAAGATGTCCTCACCTCGTGCTGAGTCTCAGCCCAGCGTCCGCACCTCGACAGACACGACTGGTAAGAGTCCGCGTCTCACTGGGCTACTTGCTGTCCCTTTATAAACTGAAATCTGACCCCTGCAGAAAGTCCAGTCACAGCAAATACACAGCTTGAGGCGATTGCAGACGTCGGGGCAGTGTCATCTGGCCTGGCAGCCCCTTGTGCTCCCCCAGAGCCCACGTGCCCTGGCTCCTCACTGCAGTTAGCGTTCCCTGTTTTGGTGTGAATGGAATTCTGTGGCACCTGTGCTCTCTCTGGCATCTTCACACCTACACTGTGTTTCACTTGATAATGCCAGATTCTTCTCCAAAGCACCCCTACAATTTACACTCCATCCACAGCATGCAAGGCAGCCGTGGTGCTGCATGCGCGCCAACACTTACATGGTCAGTGGCTCCTTCTGTTCCCTCTAGTGGACACGTAGCACATCCTATTTTGGTTTAATTTGCAAATTTCATGAGATTCGTGGGATTGAACATCTTTCCTGTGTGCATTGGTGTATGATTGGCTAGGGCTGCCATAACTCAACACCACAGCCTGGGTGGCTTAAACAACGGGTATTTATTTTCTCACTTCTGGAGTCTGGATGTCAGAGATCAGGCTGCTGGCAGGGTGGGTTCCTCCTGAGGCCTCTCTGTGGCTTGCAGACAGCACCCTCTCCCCTGCGCGCTCACGTGGCCTCTCCCCTGCGTGCTAACATGGCTTCTCCCCTGCGCGCTCACATGGCTCCTCCCCCACTGCGTGCTCACTCCCGGTGTGTCTTCCTCTTCTTTTTTTTTGGAGGGGGGACAGAGTCTTGCTCTGTCACCCAGGCTGGAGTGCAGTGGTGTGACCTTAGCTCACTGCAGCCTCTGCCTCCCAGGTTCAAGTGATTCTCCTGCCTCAGCCTCCTAAGTAGCTGGGATTACAGGTACACACCACCATGCCCCAATTTCTGTATTTTTAGTAGAGATAGGGTTTCACCATGTTGGTCAGGCTGGTCTCGAACTCTTGACCTCATGATCCACCCACCTCAGCCTCCCAAAGTGCTGGGATGACAGGCGTGAGCTGCCACGCCCGGCTCTTCCTCTTATAAGGACAACAGTCCAGGGCCCCAGCCTTAGGACCTCATGTAACCTTAACTGCCTCCTCAAAGGCCCTGTCTCCAAATACAATCATGTTCAGGGTTAGAGCTTCAACCTATCAATTTTGGGGGACACAGTTCGGTCCATAGGATTGGCCTTTTGATAGTCTCTCTTTTGAAGCTCCAGGCCATGTCTTTTGCCCATGTTTTATTAGATGATCTGCCTTTTGTCATAGATTGTTTTTAGGGTATTTGATTCTGAATATGAGCCTTGAGCTGGTTTTATGGGTTTCAAGTATCTCCTCCCAGTCTGTGGCTTTGCCTTTTATTCCTTCACTGGTGTCTTTGGTGAATGGATGGTCTTCATTTCAAGACAGACTCACAGGCTAATCTATTCCACTGTGGTTAGTCCAACATCAAAAGGTTCATTCTAGCATTCTAGCATTCTTTTTCGTTATTCTAACTTCCTTTTCCAACAATGAGAAACCTGGCTCGCCCATTCTCACTAACACAGTTACTCTGATCGAGTCCTCTTGGTGTAACCAATCCCCCGTTGCTGCTGCAGCCCCTTCCCCTATTTGGAGGCCCCTCTCCTGCCTGGATGCCTCCCCAGCATCACCGAGCTTGACAGCCCAGCCTGGCCGCCTTCCCCTCAGATGCCCTCACCCTGCTGGAGCCACAGTCCCCCTTAGGTAGGGGAGGCAGGCCCCACCTGCAGGCCTAAGGCAGGAAAAGAAAGGGAGGGGCCAGAGAGGACGCTCCACTGGCACAGATTGTCTCAAATGAGGGAGGTTTTGGCCGGGCGTGGTAGCTCACGCCTGTAATCCCAACACTTTGGGAGGCCGAGGTGGGTGGATCACCTGAGGTCAGGAGTTTGAGACCAGCCTGGCCAACATGGTAAAACCCCGTCTCTACTGAAAATACAAAAAAATTAGCTGGGCGAGGTGGCGGGCGCCTGTAATCCCCGCTACTTGGGAGGCTGAGATAAGAGAATCGCTTGAACCCGGGAGGCGGAGGTTGCAGTGAGCCGAGATTGCACCACTACACTCCAGCCTGGGTCACAGAGCGAGACTCCATCTCAAAAAAAATAAAACAAAATAAAGGAGGTTTTATTTTTCTTTTCCAATGCGCATATTGTTTACTTCTTCTTGCATTATTGCCCCTAGCTAAACTCTCCAGTGTGATATTCATAATCGCTGTCTTTCTCCCTAATCCCAGAGGAAGAACTTTCGGCATTTCACTTTTTTAGGTTTAGTTTTTGCTGAAGGTTTTTTGCAGTGGGGGTAGTGGAGGGAGGTTAAGGAAGTTTCTTTCTGTTCCTGTTTTAATATAGATCTTCATTTTTAAAATAATGATTCTTTGTTTTTGTTTCATATAGTTTGCATCTTTGTTGTTAGATGTGTATACATTTAGGATTATTATTTTTTTTAGGATAATTGACCCTTATATTGTTATGTAACCTTCCTCTTTATCCTGGCAATGTTCTTTGTTCTGAGGTCTACCTTGTCTGATATTAGTTAATCCACTCAAGCTTTCTTTTGATTCACGTTTGCGTGGTATAACTTTTTCATCCCTTTTTCTTTTTACCGACCTCTGTCTTTTATATTTGAAATGAATTTCTTTTTTTTGAGGCGGAGTCCTGTTGCCTAGGCTGGAGTGCAGTGGCACAATCTTGGCTCACTGCAACCTCTGCCTCCTGGGTTCGAGCGATTCTCGTGCCTCAGCCTCCCAAGTAGCTAGAGTTACAGGCATGTGCCAACATGCCCAGCTGGTAGCGTTTGTATTGTTAGCAGAGACAGGGTTTCACCATGTTGGCCAGGCTGGTCTCAAACTCCTGGCCTCAAGTGATCCACTTGCCTTGGCCTCCCAAAGTGCTGGAATGACAGGCGTGAGCCACTGCACCCGGCCTAAAGACAAAGACTGTTGAAAGCATGCAGAGAGAGCGATGCGTGGCCTGCAGGGGACTGTGACCGGAGCGGCAGTGGGTTCTCAGCAGCAGCTGTCATCAGATTTCTCTTCAGAAGGAAGTGGCATAATATTTTTCAAGCACTGAAAGCAAAAACTGTCAACCCATAATTATACATTCAGTAAAAACATTCTTCAGGAATGAGAGTGAATAAAGATATTCTCAGATGAAGGAAAAGTTTGGATCAGACTGGATCTAAAAGAACTGATAAAGGAGGTACTTTAGACACAACGGAAGGAAGGAAACTAGGAACGTCAGGAGTGAAGGAAAACTAATGGCAAGGGTGAATATGATAGACACTCTTTCACACTTGACTTTTAAAATTACGTTGACAGGCCAGGCGCCATGGCTCATGCCTCATGCCTGTCATCCCAGCACTTTGGGAGGCCAAGGCAGATGGATCACCTGAGGTCAGTAGTTGAAGGCCAGCCTGGCCAACGTGGTGAAACCCCGTATCTACTAAAAATACAAACATTAGCTGGGCGCGGTGGCTCATGCCTGTAGTCCCAGCACTTTGGAAGGCTGGGTGGGTGGATCACTCAAGGTCAGGAGTTTGAGACCAGCCTGGCCAAAATGGAGAAACCCCGTCTCTACTGAAAATACAAAAATTAGCCGGGTGTAATGGCAGGCGCCTGTAATCCCAGCACTTTGGGAGGCTGAGGCGGGTGGATCGCTTGAGGCCAGGAGTTCAAGACCAGCCTGGCTAAAATGGAGAAACCCCATCTCTACTGAAAATACAAAAATTAGCCGGGCATGGTGACAGGCACCTGTAATTCCAGCTATTTGGGAGGCTGAGGCAGGAGAATCGCTTGAACCTGGGAGGCAGAGGTTGAGTGAGCCGAGATCATGCCACAGCACTCCAGCCTGGGCAACAAGAACAAAAATCCATCTCAAAAAAAAAAGAGTTTTTGCCTTTAGTTTTC